GGCTGGCATGTGGTGCTGGGGATTGAGCCGCGGTCCCTGTGCTTTGCTTAGCTTAGCTTGTTCTAAGTAGGTGCTTTAGACCACTGAGCCATCTCTCCAGCCCTCAGACCTTTTTCTGATAGTACATCAAGAGCCACTGAAGGGTTTGCGGGAGAGAGAGTGACCACATTTCTTTTATTTTGTAATGTCTTTGGTTCAGGGTCTCACTGTGCAGCTCGGACTCATAGTGATCCTCCTGTTTTCTGCCTCCCCAGGGCTGGGGTTACAGGCACGTGTGCCCGGTCTCAGTGGCCAGCTCAGCACATGCCTGGGGGCAGGACCGGCATGGCGTGTGGTACCAGGTACATTTCCATTTTCTAAAGCTCTATGTGTCTATTATGTTAGTGGATTCGAAATGACCGCATAACTGGGCACAGTGGCGAGCACCTGATGGTGCACTTGGGAGCTGAGGCAGGAAGATGACCATGATGTTGAGGCCATCCTGAGCTACACAGCAAGTTCAAGGCCAGCTGAACTGCTTCGTGAGACCCCATCTGAAACAAAACAAAGCAAGAAGCCCCAACTACTTGACAATTGATTGGATGTGGAAATGGAAACAGAGAAAGCCACGTATGATGTCATAGTCTAGCCGCAGTGGCCTTAGTTCTGCATCTGAAACAAACGAGCTGGGCCTCCACCTTGGGCTGATGTGCTTGCTTTTCCCTGTGAGCTTAGGTCTGTGTGGCACTGGTTTCTCGCCTGCCTTCTCCCTATTTAAATAGCCAGTGGTTTTTTTTTTTTTTTTTTTTTTTTTTGCTCTGAATGCCTTCAGGGCAGGCTGGGCTGGCTTGGGTTGTGGGGATCGACCACAGCAACCTGAGCCTGACTGCTTTGCTGAAGCAGCCACTTAGAAGCACTGAGCTAAGGGGCAGGCCCCCCGGCAGCTTACCGTTGGGACACTTCCACGTTTGTTTATTTATTTTTAAAAAAATTTTTAGAGAGAATAAAAAATAGTGAAAAAAGCATTAGAAAAGACACAGAATTTCACTAAACAAAATAATAGGAATTCAGGGCCTGGGGAGATAGTTCAGTAGAATAAGTGCTTGCTTGGCAAGTACAGGGTCCTGAGTTCAAACCCTGGTACCACAAAGTCTTCAAATTAGCTGCTCATACTACCAGATATAAGTAAGCAAAATTGGTCAAAAAAGTTATAAAAAATTAATAAGCAAAAGAAAAAAATTAAGCATTAACTGCTCCTTTCAAAAGCCCAACAGAGGGCCAGAAAGATGGCTCAGTGGAATAAGCGCTTGCCTTGCAAGTGCAGGGGCCTGAATTCAATCCCTGATTGTGCAAAAAAAAAAAAAAAAAATCAGCAGTACAATTATCCAAGCTATCCTGTATATACAAATAAATATATCTTTTTCTCTTCTTTCTCTTGTCCTTTTCCTCCTCCCAGTTGACTCCTTCTTCTTCTTCTTCTTCTTCTTCTTCTTCTTCTTCTTCTTCTTCTTCTTCTTCTTCATCTTCATCATGAATTTAGGACAGGGTCTACAGGGTGTACAGGGTCTCACTACATAGATCAGACTCAGTGATTCTACTGTTTTCAGCTTCCCAAACTCTGGCGTTACAGGCATGCGCCACCAACCCCAGTCTCAATCACCTTCTCAGCATGCCCCAAGAATGGGGCTGACAGGGTATGCTGGTGATTAAACCCCAGCCGCTGTACTCTGACAAAGCAGGTGCTTTAGTCCACTGAGCTAACTGGCTGGCTTCTTCTTCTTCTTCTTCTTCTCCTTCTCCTTCTTCTTCTTTTTTTTTTATTTTTAATTTTTTTATTTTTATTTATTTGAGAGAGAGAGAGAGAGTGTGGTGTGTGTGTGTGGCCAGCTCAGCCCACCAGGGGGCGGGGCTGGCTGGCATGTGGTGCTGGGGATTGAGCCGCGGTCCCTGTGCTTTGCTTAGCTTAGCTTGTTCTAAGTAGGTGCCTTAGACCACTGAGCCATCTCTCCAGCCCCTTCTCCTTCTTCTTCATCATTTTTTTTTCCAGTACCAGGGATCAAACTCATGACCTTGAGCTTGCCAGGCAGGTGCTTAGGCAGCTGAGCTATCTCCTTGGCCCACTCTTCTTGAGACAGGGTCTCACTATGCAGTTCAGGATGACCTTGAGCTCACTTTGCAACTCAGGCTGGTCTCCAACTTACAATTTCCTCTTGCCTCAGCCTCCCAAATTCTGGGATTACAGGGGGCCACCACTATACCTGGTGACTTCTATGTTCTAGTTTTCATTATTTTTCACTATTTGAAATTGTCCAGGTTTATTCCTTTTTACATTTTTTTTTTCCATATCAGACCTTGAGCCCTGAGCCTCCGACATGCTGGGCAAGTGCTTTACCACTGAACCATACCCACCACCCATTTTATTCTATTTTATCTTTTCTGTCTTACCTTATCAGTTTACTTGAATATGAACTTCATTCGAGCAGACATTTGGTCTGCCTTCCTTACCTTTGAATCCTATTATTCTATTATTTCCATTTAATAGGCAGGATGTGGCTCTCTTGCCAGTTCTCCTCCTAGCCTAAATTTCAGTCATGCCAAGCAAATCATAGCGCTCTCGGTTTGGCAGCTGGTCTTCTTGGAGCAGCTGTCTCGGAACAGTGCTCCCTGGTCAGCCTCTCTTCTCTGTGCTAACCTCTGTCCCTCAGAGCTCGCTTTCCATCACAGTGCCGTACTCCATCTCTTTCTCCACGGGAAGGAGTGACGGGGGGCAGTGTGTGTCCCACGCGCCCTGCCAAGACGCACAGGCAAGAGGCGCTCCGAATGTCTGTCGGCACACCCAGGGCCTGGTTGCAACTGCAGGGCTCTAGCCCTCCCCCCAGTGCCGCTAAGCCAGTCTGTACTGAACGAGGCCTCCAGGTGATTCGTTGTCACATTGAAACATTAAAACATTTATTTATTTATTTATTTATTTATTTTAATTTTATTGAGAAACAAATATGAATGAGACAGTTTCAAAGCTGATTAATAGGACAGTTTCAATAATCAATACAGTGTACATTGTT